AGACTGCTGATATGTGTGTCTGGTCGAGTAAAAACAAACAAAAAAAATCTGTGTAAAATGTTAGAATTATCTTTTGGTGGAATTTTTTGTACCTTATTTATTACTACTACTAATAATGATTTTAAAGGTGGCATCGCTAAACCCAAACTGTTATTTTCTTTGTTTTTCATTTTTGTTTCATTTCAAAGCTTGTACATTATCCTTTTTGTATGTGCTCTTTTATAATAAAAGTTGTGAAAATGTCAAAACAGGTCTCGCCTCAGTTCTTGTGGATTCCGCAAGAAGTTGGAAACAGTCTTTTGAGATTCTGGTCCATGTTGACGTGATCACGTCATGCAATTCCTGCAGATTTCTAAAGCCAACACGACTTTCACCCTGATTTTAGCCCTGATTCTCAGTCTGGCTGAGTCTGTGCTGATTGGCAGTAGTCTGCAGATGTTTGGGTCAGTTGGAGAGAGGCGAGTGGTGTTTGAGGGGCGCAGACTCCGATTTATGGCCTCCTGATTGCGTTTCAGACAGTCAGAGTTTATCAAACTTGGCTGATTTTTTGACCCGACTCTGAGGGAAATCTAGTTTAAGCCTTGGGTTCACCACACGACTTTTAAAGTCCTAACAGATTCTAAAAGACTGGGCGTCTCACACTGTCAGACTGGTTTCTGCAGATTTTTTGGGTGACTGAAATATTAGGGATCACACACTACTGCTGCTGAACTGAACAGAGCTCACTGAACTCGCGTGAACTCACGCAAACTCTCTCATTCTCCCATTACAAGGAGACGCAAATAAACAAACATGAGCTGCTGCTGCTGTTTTCTCTGCCGTTTACACTGAAACAGTAAAGAAGCGGCAGGTAAACATGTTTAAGTGAGAATCATAGATTTAAAAAGGTGATCAGTTTGGTATTTTTTAGAGTTTTAAATGTACATAAATTCAATTGTGACCTTAAACTCAGCTCATTAAAAAGCGTCGCTCCACACGTGAGAGACTTTTTGCCATTTTTCTTTGTTTAATGCTGTATTTTCTTCTTTCGTGCTCTCAGTTTCATTGGCTGTTGCAGGAATCTGTTCAGATTGAGTCGTTCATCAGTTCACATTAGATTACACTCAGAAAAAATCAGCCATGTTTGATAAACTCGGACTGATCTGAAACGCGATTGGGAGGCCAAAAATCTGAGTGTGCACCCCTCACACATGACTCTCCAACTGTCAACTCCGACTGACCCAAAAATCTGCTGCGGAGATCAGCGTTTACAGTCATCTAATGGTCTGAATTCAGTTCATGAAGGCCTCGCTGATTAGCTGATGAGCTGAATCAGGTGTGTGTAATGAGGGAGTGAGCTGAAGTCTGCAGTGTTTTGGCCCATGAGGACTGGATCCTGACACATGTGCTCTTGTCTTTCATCAGTGGCCACAGGACGCTGCCCACAGGACACTGTTGGCCTAGAATGATATTTCACCCCAACAGGGCTGGACATCTTAAGTTTGACCTCAGCTAAGTATGGAGACAGTGTGAGAAATATTAACTGAAATGAACTTATATAGTTACTGAACATGCAGCATTTGTCTTCAGTCCATTGAAGATAAAACAATATGAAGGTTGTGATGTCACTGATGTCAAAGGGACAGTTCTCCCAAGATGACAGGGTGGACGGCATGTTGGATGTTTAAACGACTTGGTATTTTTTATGAACATGGCAAAACGAGTAATAAAAATGCCTTAATTGTTACCAAATGTCTTTTGAAACCTAGAAAATATAGACATTTTTTTAAAAAGTTGTGTTATTTAACCCCTCAAGTCATTCATCTTCACCATGCAGCATCTTGGTCATGTCCAAATCCCCATTTCCACATCAAAGAAACGGCACATTATACTGATATTGACAAGTTTACTTATGATAAATAGTAAATAGTTTTGCAGTTTGTAAAACCTTAAAGCATATATCTTTCTATGTATGCTGCAGATTAGTTAAGCAACCACTAGAGGGTGCTACAGGCCTCAAAGTGTTTTACACTTATCTGTTTATTTGTCTCTTTAACTAACATCAATTTAATGATACAAGAAGTAATATTTATAGCTGTTAACTGGATCATATTAAACATTTGGTTGGCTGCAAGTCTGATTATCATATGTATATAATGAGTCAGTAGACAAGACACGTACAGGTGATCTTTGTGCAAGACATGCCCAGTTGGCCAGAGAGACCAGTGCTGCCCCTGCAATCTGATTGGCCACCCCAAAATTTGGGAGAAAAAACATTAAAAAAACATAAAGGGTGCCATAACTTTTGCACAAGCAATATTTTTTTTTTTTTCACTTAGAAAATCATGGAGTTTCACCAGGGCGCCCAAACTTTTGCATACAAGTGTATATACAATAGGTAATAATCCATTTCTTACATTTAAAGTTATTGAATTTAAAGTTCAATTTAAAGTTCTACTCTAGAATAAACGTTTTTTTTTCTAAACCCTCAAAAATACAAACTGTAGATTTAATCAAAGACTACAGAAAAAAACACTGAACCTTAAAAATTTAATAATTTACACCAAAATATTTTAGACCAAACACCAGCGTAAACACACATTTATGGACTTATTATTTTTGTTTTTGGTCTGTAATCTGTATTTAGCTTCAGCGATCAACATAGTACAGTTCGTTTTTTTCATAATTACAGATTAAATGTTGTTATTCTTCAGCTCACACTGTAAAGAATACAGAGCAATCAGAGGAACGTCCAGAAAAAAGACAAAGCTCGGACTAACCTCGTCATAATTTACGTACATTTACATTCGTCTATTTACATCACCACTCTCACTCTTTTCCAGAGGTGGCTAGCTGTGAGTTACAGATACTCACTTCACATCAGTGGAGAACCCTTAAGGCCTTCTAGGCCTTCAGAGAGAGCCCAATGATTTCTGGGAACTAAAAATACATTTTCAGTTCATTTTTACTGGCTGGCCAATAACGAAATGTTCTCCATGGTGTCTAGGTAGATACAGCTAAGCAAGCTATATTGTTGGTTAGGACTTCAGGAGCTGAAGAGAAGGCCTAACGCTTAACATTAACCATCAGCATAAAGAGGAAGTGACAGAGGAATCAACCAATCACAATTTGATTTACGATGGGACTGATTTTGTGAGACAAAAGTGTCACTCTAGGCCTGCTGGAAGTTCTAGATACATCACTGACTGTGAATACGAGCGGCAGCCTGATTAGTAGGTTGTTAGAAATGAAAAACAGCAGCGCTACACCAGAGCTCACTACTGAAAGAGTCACAGTGAAACTGCTACAAGGTAAAATATATGCTAATATGACTCTCACAAGTCTTTTAGAAACTTCAAATGTCTTTGTTTTATCTAGAACAGCCAAAAAATGTCCATGCAAATCCGCATTAGTTTAGTGCAGGGATGCTAGCAGACGTTAGCATCACTGTAGAGTGTTTTTCCTCACATTTTGACCACTATGGCTCAAACTGAAGTCCTAGCGCTAGAAGTCAAGGTTCACCACTGGTTCACATCATATACTAGTACTTTTCAGTCATATTTATTGTTACCTGTGTATATTCGTTTATGATTACTCAAACAAAACTCTTTGTGATGAATCTTCTGATGCTCTTTAGCTAGCAGCACGCTGCTGCTTAGCCGCTAATCTCTTACTGCTAAACATAATGGCCTTACAGTGTTTGTGGACAGGTTTGGGGTCCAGTAGTGCACAACTGTATTCACTACTGTCTCTTTTTCTGGACTGAATCCTGGTTAGACTACAGCTCATATTCAAAGTTAGTGATGTCTCTAGAACTTCCAGGTTAGGAGGTCTGAACCAATAGGAGAGCCCGCTGGGCTGTATCTACCTAGATATAACAGAGAAAACAGTCAATCATTTTCTGTTGGTCGAATGCAAATTTTAACCCTTTGCTTTCCAACCAAAACTTAGTGTTTCTACAGTACTTGCAGAGTTTGAATACAACAGCTATGATGATTCTAATAAACAAAAATGATCTAAAAATGACACATATGTATTTTTAAGTTTCCAGAAATCACTGTGCTTTCATTCAGGGCTTAGAAGCCCCTGAGGGTTTAGCGTGTATAGCAGGCAGGTCAAACTGGGGTCCTTCCAGGCCAAAGTGCTGTGGATCTTAGTGTTTACCCTCATCTACCACACTGAATTCAGCTCATGAAGGCCTCGCTAATTAGCTGCTGAGCTGAATCAGGTGTGTTTAATGAGGCACTGAGCTGAAGTCTGCAGTATTTTGGCCCGCGAGGACTGGAGCCTGACATGTGTGGTGTATTTTATAGTGTAGTATGTCGTTTTGAGCTGGCTCTAACATTCAGCTGCTCCTTAAGGCCTTCATTACCTGGATCAGGTGTGTTTGCATGGTGGTAGACCAGGACCAGGGTTGGGCAGCCCTGCTTCAGAGTTCTGTATTTTAATGTTTTAAAATACGGTGAACTTTACAGTAGACTGATGCTTTAGCGCAGGTGCTAGCTGTTACATTGTTGTTTGCTTTGTCTACTTCATGCTGTTTATATTTCAGAAATTACTGTACATATATTTGATTTAAAATGGTACAACAGGCTAGTCCTGGGACAAATACTTAAATATCGTAAGGTCCTAGAAGTAAAAGTGTATATCGTCACTGTCAGAACAAAACCTTGTATATCCATTTTACTGGTTTTATTTATTTACCGAATTTTTACAGAATATGAAAATGTCAGCTGATATTTACATTGTGGTAAAAAAGCAGTCCAAAAATACTTCAAACTGACTTCCATTCAAAACTCTGACCTTTTTTTTCCATCTTCTGTAAAATTATCATTTTGGAGATACAAGGTTTTGTCACGACCTCAATGATATACAAAATACTGTATTGCAGTATGAAACTGTTTTGGTTGCTGGAAGCTAATTGATGCTGTGTGGCTAACAAATGCTCCAATTCTATAGTTTAAATGAAGTACGTTTCATTCAACTTAATGCCTGAGATTTGTTAGCCTCTACATAAGCGATCAGCCTTGTGTGCTGTTGCTACTGAGGAAGTTGAGTTTATCCAGGTAAGTCATGGCTTTGCAGGCCACCAAACTGTAATAAGTTTCTAGCATGCTGCAGCTCCGCCCCTTCCCCTCCCCTAGATCTCTCCAGGCCACGCCCAGCTGCTCCACCCCCATCCCAGCGGAGCTGAACAGGAAGTTGTAGCAGCAGGGGTTGTAGCGGATGTGGTGTTCTCCGGAAAACCGAGCGCTGTGAGTGGCCACCATGCCTGCTCGTCTTGCACACAGGCCAATCAAAATGTCCGGTGGGAGGGGCAGAGTGATGTCATCGGACGCAACGTAAACTTTTCTGATCACGTCCTGCGACATCAGGAGGGCGGGACCTGAGCAGTAATCTGGGAGGAGCCTGTCAGGGAACAGGTGGAAGGGCAGGTAGTGGGGTTTGGTTGAGTCTCTCTCAGGTGCGGCCCGGTGGATGACCCTGCCCAGGTAGAGGTCATCCGGATGGGTGCGGAGCCCGATCAAGTAAGACCCGAGTGCGGGGACGTTTAAAAACACAGAATCCTCTGCCAGGACGATGAATCGGGCCTGAGGGCAGAAGAGCAGCACCCAACGCATGGCCAGTTTGACCCTCTCCCATTGACCTCTGTCTGATCTACTCCTTGACGACGGCCCCTCGCATTGTACCATGTCGCCGTGGCGATCAGACTCCTCCCTGACCGCCTCGCGCTCCGCCTCCAAAGGGGATGGGCCTAGAAAGAACAGAGTCCGGACCGCCACGCCCTGGACCGAGGTCTGATTGGCCCACGAGTTCCGGACTGCCTCCCTCTGACTGGCGTTTCCGGGGGTGCTGAGGACCACAGTGAGGAAGAGGAGGTCCTGGTGATGAAGGCAGGGGGCGGAGCTGATAGGGTAGAGCTGTGAGGCGTTGGGCCTGGTCCCACTCAGGTCTAGTTTGCGAGCGCGCTCCCGCAGCTCCAAGACAGAGCGGTCAGTGTAGGCAGCGGGGGACGACTGCAGCAAGAACTCCTCAACAACATCGCCCCCAAACAGCAGAGCGTGGAACAGCACCACATTGCACAACAGGAAACACCACTGATGGGTCTGCAGCCTAAAGACACACGCCTGCAAAGAGAATTATTATTATTATTATTATTATTATACCATGCTATATGCTCTATAATAAGAAGAGAATTATTGCTGCTATAACTAGCATTATTATTATTCATTGTCCAGTTGTTCACAAGGTGGCAGGACTCAATCGTAATTGTTGATTTTTTTCTTCTTGTTGATTAAATTTTCTGCCCTAAAATGAATTGTACAGACCAAATAGTCAAAACTAGACAAAATTCTTGGTCCTGCTGATTCTTAAGAACCATTAAGCTCGGCCCCCTTTGATTCTGAGCTAACTTACATAATATGCAACACCTACTTTTGATCTGATTGTTATCATTATTAATTATCATTATTGATTCCAGTACCCATCTCTGGAGTCTAGTACTGACTTATGATTCAGTCTGATTACTTGATTTGTTGAGAACTGCCACTCAATAATGCCTTCCTGGTTTGTTGGACGCTAGAGGGCGCTCCTGAGCGAGTCCAAAATGAATGGGTTGTTATGGCGCTTTTGAGAAAACTGCAGTTTGTAAATGCTTATTTATTTTTTATATAGAAAATATGCACTCATTTTTTGAACAGAGTGACATAATATTTCAGCACTGCTGTTTTATTTCTGAGTGCTTTAGAACTCAAATTATAGGACTTTATAACAGTGTCTGTATATTCATGATGTCAGTCAGTGCAAATTACTTCACTCAGCCAATGAGCTGATCAGCTCACCAACCAATCTGCACTCAGTAGCAGTAATGCTAACCAATCAGCACTCAGTAGCAGTAATGCTAACCAATCAGCACTCAGTAGCAGTAATGCTAACCAATCAGCACTCAGTAGCAGTAATACCAACCAATCAGCACTCAGTAGCAGTAATGCCAACCAATCAGCACTCAGTAGCAGTAATGCCAACCAATCAGCACTCAGTAGCAGTAATGCTAACCAATCAGCACTCAGTAGCAGTAATGCCAACCAATCAGCACTCAGTAGCAGTAATGCTAACCAATCAGCACTCAGTTTAGGTAAACTGTTTTGGCAGTTTGAGGAGCAGGTGTTGTTATATAATAGTTGGTATGTTTAAGGAGCGTTAGCTTGCTTTACTTGTGGCAAATAGCATTAGCCGCATTTTGACTGCTGAATGCCCTGTAATTCAGAGGATCCAGTGCCACAAAAATCTACACAGCACAAAACTTATTAGCTTTGGATCATTTAATTAACTACAGGATGCAGTAGCGACAACTACAGTTCATTTTTGTCACAAAGAAATCCAGCCCTTACTGAAATCTGATATATGACAATATATGAGTTTCAAATATATGACATATTTCAGTCATTTATCAACATATAAAAAAATATATATTACATATATATTAGCTATATGATGTTAGCATATGGGTAATACACGAATTTATATATATATATATATATATATAAAACATGCACAATGTAAGCTATGCAATAGAATAATTAAAGCAAAAATAAATGAAAATATTGTTCTCTGAAACATTTAAATAATTAAATATTTAAAAGCAAACTTTTAAATAGTTATATAGTAACAGTTGTAACTGTACTGTTATATTGGGCTGTCATACATGGGCTGACATATATGTACGATCTATATGTTACACATATATGTCTAATATTTGATAATTGTCTTTATGTACACAACATATATACGTACATAGTTTGACATACACACCTGACCCGTTATGATATATGTGCACATACGGCCATATATCAGGTTTCTGTATGGGAATTTAGACTCCCTGCTCTGAGCATGAAAAAATAAAATCCAAATAACAAGAAAAATCCAAGCAACTCCAATAGGGTTCCAAACCATCTACGGTGCTTGGACCCCTAAAACATGGAGCAGGCATGAAAATTACAAAAATACATGTTTCAGTATGTATCAGTACAGGTCAGGAAGAGGTTGCAGTACATGCAGCAACCTTGTTTACTCTTTTTCAGAGCATCACAGAAGAAACAGTGGCATAGAGAGAGCGAGGGAGAGAGGACAGGCTGAAGTGACGGAACGGATGAGTGTGGAGAGAAGGGGAATCAAAGGAAAGTTCAGAATTCTATCAAAAGCTGTCCTCACCCGCATGATGGCCAATAAAGGGACACTTTCCCTCTTATGGTTCCTGACCTGGTTGGATTGTCTGCCTGCTAGACAACATGTATGTGTGTATATTCAGCGTTCAACTGAGCCCTGTTTCCAAGGTAACCTGAAACCAGACAGGTAAGGCTACACCTTTCTCCTTGTCAGCTGACATACACAAGCTGCCCTCAGTCATCAATGCATTCATGAGGCTTCATGCAGTCCACACAGCCTTTCTAGCAGTCTCGATTCAGCACTACACACTATATTCATATTAAACCGCCTTGTTTCTGCGCTCACTGTCCATTTTATCAGTTCCACTGACCATATAGGAGCACTATGTAGTTCTACAGTTACAGACTGTAGTCCATCTGTTTCTCTGCATACTTTGTTACCCTGGTCAGGACCCCGACAGGACCACTACAGAAATTTGTGTTCACTGTTCTAGAGAAACCTGCCCAGTCAGAATTGTTCACAGCAGTTTTACTTTATTTAAATTTGTGCATTTTATTATGTTTGATTTTCTGTTGTTACAGCTTTGTGTCATGCCTAATAACATTCCTTACCTGTGATAAAAATCACAGTGCCATCCTCTCGGGGCTTTAATCTCTCACACACCAAACTGCTTTAATCTCTCACACACCAAACTGCTTTAATCTCTCACACACCAAACTGCTTTAATCTCTCACACACCGAACTGCTATAATCTCTCACACACCAAACTGCTTTAATCTCTCACACCGAACTGCTATAATCTCTCACACACCAAACTGCTTTAATCTCTCACACACCAAACTGCTTTAATCTCTCACACCAAACTGCTTTAATCTCTCACACCGAACTGCTTTAATCTCTCACACCGAACTGCTTTAATCTCTCACACCGAACTGCTATAATCTCTCACACACCAAACTGCTTTAATCTCTCACACACCAAACTGCTTTAATCTCTCACACACCGAACTGCTATAATCTCTCACACACCAAACTGCTTTAATCTCTCACACACCAAACTGCTTTAATCTCTCACACACCGAACTGCTATAATCTCTCACACACCAAACTGCTTTAATCTCTCACACACCGAACTGCTTTAATCTCTCACACCGAACTGCTTTAATCCCTCACACACCAAACGCTGACATTAGAGATGCAGTAGCAACTCAACAGCAACGTACAGTTATTTTTCTCCTCCGAGATCACCTTTGTTCTCCATCCGTCACTAACTGTCAGCGCTCGCAAGCACACACACACACACACACACACACACACATGCACACAAACTAGGCTGAAAGGTGAGGGTCAGTCCTGTGTGTGTGTGGTGGAATGAAGGAGAGGATAGGGGTGGAGAGAGAGAGAGAGAGAGAGAGAGAGAGAACAGTGCTCTTTCTAAAGAAATAACAAACATCTGAAGGACTGATAGATAGTAGATCTGATCGGTACTGCATGAGTCCTTAACTGAGTCCTGATCTGATCACCCACTAACACATAACTAACAGAGAGAGAGAGAGAGAGAGAGAGAGAGAGAGAGAGAGAGAGAGAGAAATAGAGGAAAAAAGAGGGAAATAGAGGAAAATTGCGAGAGACAGAGTAAGAGCGATATAAAAGAGAGAAATAGAGGAAAAATAGAGAGAGAGAGATTTTTTTGTTTAGTTTGTTTTAACACAGCAGTCAGTGTCCAGTTTCAGACAGCTGGACAAACAGTTCTTGTAAAAATGTTAGACACATAGTTACTGTCTACACCATCTCAGCTTTCTCTCTCTCTCTCTCTCTCTCTCTCTCTCTCTCTCTCTCTCTAGCTTTATTGGTTCAACTCAAAGCAGAACACTCTGTAGAACTAAAAACACATACAGAATTAATAATAGTAATAATGATAATAGTCACAGTGAAACAATAACAACAATAATATTTAAATAATTAGAGTAAATGAATAAAATAAGACAATATCAAATTAACATATCAAATCATAAAAAATTATAACAGACAGCATATCTATCTGTTCATCTATTTGTTTGTTTGTTTGTTTTCTCTTTCTTTGTAATAAAGTGGGATTGATTATTCCTGCATGTTATCTACAGTGAGCATCTCACAGCATTCATTCGTTCACTCACCGAGTCACTCCTTCACTCACTCACTCACTCATTCACTCACTTAATCAGTTACTCATTCACTCAAGTCATTCATTCACTTACTCATTCACTCACTCAGTCACTAAGTGACTCCTTTACTCATTCACTTACTCGTTCACTCACTCAGTCACGAAGCAACTCATTCAGTCTTTCACTTACTCATTCACTCACTGAGTCATTCATTCACTCATTTACTGACTCACTTATTCACTCATTCATTCACTGATTCACTCAGACACTCAGTGACTCATTCAATAATTTACTCGCTCAGTCACTAAGTCACTCTCTCGTTCACTCACTCAGTCACTCATTGACTCACTCACTCATTCACTCACTCAGTCACTAAGTGACTCATTCACTCACTCACTTACTCATTCACTCACTGAGTCAATCATTCACTCATTTACTCACTCACTCATTGACTGAGTCACTCATTCACTCATTCATTCACTCATTCACTCAGTCACTCAGTGACTCATTTACTAATTTACTCATTCATTCACTCAGTCACTCACTACATCTCTCCACAGGACAGTATAACAGCGTGTTGATGTGAGTGGGACAGAAATGAGCTCAGTGGGCGGTCAGTGCTGTCAGCAGCGTGTCTGAGCTTCTGTTTTAGGCGTGAACAGCAGACACAGCTGCAGCTCAGTGAACGTTCCGCTGCTGCCAGAGTCACTTTCACACAGTGTGGGTGTGCTGACCGGCATGGTTATGAAGACGCTGCTTGATGTCCGAGAGCTTGTTTTGGAGAGTTTTCAGAAGGTTTTGGCCTAAAACATATATTTTTAATCCGTTCATGGATCATGCAATGCACTGTGGGGCAAAATAGTCCCCCAAAAAAGCTTCATCACTATTTTACCATCATCATCATTCCATATAAAACTCAGAAGACACGTGTAGATTCACTGGTCACTATTATATTGGTATCTGAACTTTCCTTCTTTAGTTTTAGCACTGGAGCTCCAAGGCTAATGTAGCATAGAAGTAATGGAAGCTTATACTCCACCAATTAGCACAGTGCTAACTGCATGCCTAAATCATTACACAGTCGTGTTAAATAATGCAGAGCTGTTCAGTATTTTAATAGACTTAATTATGAGGTTTCTGACACCGTATGACTCACTGTTATCTATAAACATGAAATAGAGTACATTAGCATCGCTAATATATATTTAAGATTAATTCAGTCCTCTTATCCCCTTTTATGGACACTAGACACCAAATATGCCTCAGCTGATTGGCTTAATTTGCACAATGTGTGAGTGAGAAGATCTAAAGCTTTAAAGATGACAATTTAAGGGTTCTTCCTAGAACCTTTACACTATGCAGAGGTTGAAACTTTAAGAACGCTCACACTTACCCATCTCATTTACAACCATACATTGAAGCGATCATTAGATCAGAACCTAAACCAGTCCTCTGGACCCCAGATGGTCCAAATTTATCCTCTATTCCTATGTGGACCATCTGGGGGTCACTGAAGATAGGTTTGAGAACTGACAAACACTTTGGAGAACCAAATGTGGTTGTTCTATAGCATCATGCAAAGAACTCTTTATGACACCTTTGTTTTAAAGAGTGTGGGGTAGAAGGGAAAACTGTGTACATGAGTTTTCACCAAACTTTCATTTTAATGTCTGCAGCTTTATGTTATAATGTATTATAATGTTATTTATCTAACGTCCAGATTTTGTGTTCTGTGGTGTGTTTGTATTAGGAATCACGGTTCTCGCTCCGGTCAGCGTAAAGGCTCTTCTAAAGGCCAGTCATCGGACGTTGTGTATGTAGGTCAGTCCTCCCATCCATCCACGCTCAGACAAGCTGCACAAAGCTTATTAAAACCTTTATAAGCATGCACACATATATATATATATATATATATATATATATATATATATATATATATATATGTATAAGCAAACACATTAATAAAAACAAAATCATTTTTGTTTGTCATATTTGTATGTAAATAAATGCTCACTGTCCAGATGAATAGCTCTCTATATATTTTTTCTCCTGGGTCTAAAACTCTTTTTTTGATTAATCCTAAGAATAGTTGTGTGTGTCTCTGCGTGCAGTGGGAGGATGGAGTAAGGACAGCCCCTCGTGTCCAGTAGAGCAGTTCTGTAGTCAGTATAATGAGTGGAAGATGACCACGCCCATGCTCCGCCACCGTGGAGACGCTGGCGTGTGTGCAATGGGTGGGTTCATTTACACAGTGGGCGGAGCTGATGATCTCACCTGTGTGAGCAGTGTGGAGAGGTGAGGGTCTGCGAACACATTACCGCACCAAACTTCATGCTCTTACACTCACTGAGCACTTTAGAGAATGACCGGAGAATGACCAGAGTGGTTCAAGCTAACAGAAAGGCTACGGTAACTCAGATGACCACTCTGTGCAGTTGTAATGAGCAGAAAAGCAGCCCAGAATACACAACACGTCAAACCTTGAGGTGGATGGGCTACAACAGCAAAAGAGCATGTTGGTATCCACTTCTGTCAGCCAAGAACAGAAAGCTGAAGCTACAGTGGGAACAGGTTCACCAAAACCAGATAGTTGAAAGCTGGGAAACGTAGCTTGGTCTGATGAATCTCGATTTCTGCTGAAGCTCACACGGTAGGGTCAGAATTTGGTGCCAGCAGCATGAATCCATGGACCCAACCCGCCTTGTGTCAGCTGTCCAGGCTGGTGGAGGTGGTGTAATGGGGTGTGGGATGTTTTCTTGGCACACTAATAATAATCCAATAATACCAATCAATCATCACTTGAACGCCACGGCCTATTACAGTATTGTTGCTGACCATGTGCATCTCTTCATGGTTACAATTTACCATCTCCTAATGAATAAGTCACAAAAGTAAAAATGAAGTAAAATGTTTCATGAACATGACATGAGAATAAGTTCAATATTCTTCTCAATACCTATCTATCTATCTATCTATCTATCTATCTATATATATATATATATATATATATATATATTTATATATATATATATATGGTCCACACTTTCCTGCAGCAATTATTATTATTAATAATAATAATAATAATAATATATTGTATATATATATGTTTATGTTCATACATATTTCTTTTGGTCATAGAGTCAAAGAAATTCCAGTTTCAGTGATCTGATTGGCTAAAACGAGGTCAGAGATCATCCTGCTGATGATGTCAGCACTGGGCATTCCAGCCCTGAGAGCCCTCAAGTGTCTCATGGCAGGCAACAAAGAAATGAAAGGCATTTGCTGTTACCGTGGCGATAGAGAAAGACATTTATTAGCATGAGTTGTTGCCATGGCGAAGGTGGACCAGGAATGAGAGTTATTAGTTAAATGGATGGAGTATGACACTCATCATTACAACACACAGTCAGTAGAACCAGTTACACACACACACACACACACACCAGTAACACTGTACTGACACTCAGATAAAAACATACGTGTGTGTGTGTGTGCGTGTGTGTGCGTGTGTGTGTGTGTGTGTGTGTTAGGTATGATCCTGAGTATAATTCCTGGTGTGGTGATGTGGCCCCCCTCTCCTCACCCCGTTCCAGAGTGTGTGTGGTAGAGATGGATGGCTGTCTCATCGCTCTGGGGGGTTACGATGGGACCACCTGCACCAATGCTGTAGAAAGGTCAGTCTGAACACACAGTGGCTGATATGTTAAGTCAGTCAGAGTGGTTTGATTTAAAACGCTTCACTGTAGAGAAACTTTTTAAAAAATATGTATGTGTGTATGTGTGTATGTGGATGCGTATATGTGTGTGTATGTATGTGTGTCTATGTATGTGTGTATATGTGTGTATGTATGTGTGTATGTGTATGTGTATATGTGTATATATGTGTGTATGTGCATATGTATGTGTGTGTGTATGGTTATATGTGTGTATAAATGTATGTGTGTATAAATATGTGTGTGTGTGTATGTGTGTATAAATGTGTGTGTGTGTGTGTGTGTGTGTGTGTGTGTGTGTGTGTGTGTGTGTGTGTGTGTGTGTGTGTGTGTGTAAGGTATGACCCTGTGAGGAACTCTTGGTGTAAATTAGCTCCGATGTTAAGGAGGCGTGCGGGGGCAGCAGCTGCTGTACTGGAGGGGCTCATTTACGTTGTTGGGGGAACTGATGGAGACACACCCCTTGACACAGGTACACACACACACACACATACACTCTTTCTCTTCACACTCTTTCTCTTCTCTCTTTCTTTCTCTATGCCCATCTCTCTCTCTCTCTCTCTCTCTCTCTCTCTCTTTCTCTCTACCTCTCGTTCCATCTTCCTTTTCTCACAATATCACTTTTCCTCTCTCTCTCTTTTGATCTCTCTTTCTCTTCTCTTTCTATGGGTTTTCTTCTCTCTTTCTTTATCTTCTCTCTTTCTCTGTCACTCTTCTTCCATCTCTCTCCTCTGCTCCTCCTCTCCCTCTCTCTCTCTCTCAGTGGAGAGGTTCAGTCCTGTAGATGGGGGGTGGTCTCTGTGCCCCCCGATGCTGAGTGTGAGAGAGGGTGGGGGGTGCTGTGTGTATTCGGGCTGTCTGTATGTTGCGGGAGGGAGAGATGAGCTCGGTCTGGCTCTCAGCAATGTGGAGAAATACGACCCGCACACAGGTCGCTGGAGCCCCGCCAGAGCCATGAGGAACAAGAGATACCAGGTGTGTGTATTATATGTTATGTAATATGTATATTATGTATATTATCATTTGTTCACCCTTTTTCACAGTAGCCATAAATAAAATGCCACTTCTGCCTGTTTTGGAGCTCCTCAGCTGAACTAAGCACTACTATTATATATATATATATATATATATATATATATATATATATATATATATATATTATAATATATATATATATGTATTATATATATATATGTATTATATATATATATATATATATATATATATATATATATATTATTAGCTTTAACAGCCTCCACTCTTTTGGGAAGGTTTCCCATAAGATTTTGGAGTGTGGAGAGCATTTGTGTGGTTGAAGTCAGGGCTCTGTACAGGCCACTGGAGTTCCTCCACACCAAACTCGTCAAACCATGTGCTTATGGAGCTCACTTTGTGCACAGGTGTTCAGTCATACTGGAACAGGAAAAGCTCTTCCCCAAACTGCTGCCACAAAGGGGAAGCATATAATTGTGTAAAATGTCTTTGTTTGCTGTAGCATTAACATCACCCTTTACTGGAACTACCTGAAAAACAGCCCCAGCTCATTATCCCTCCTCCACCAAACTTTACTGTTGGCACTATACATTCCAGTAGGTAACGTTCTCCTGGTATCCACCAAAACCCTGATTCATCCATCAGACTGCCAGATAGTGAAGCATAATTCATCACTCCAGAAAACACATTTCCACTGCTGAGTCCAGTGGCAGCATTCCTTACACCACTCCAGCCAACGCTTGGCATTGCGCATAGTGATCATAGGCTTATGTGCAGCTGCTCGGCCATGGAAACCCACTTCATGAAGCTCCTGACGAACAGTTCTTATGCTGAAGTTGTTTCTAGAGGCAGTGTAGAACTCTTTAGTGAGTACTTCAACAAAGGACAGGTGATTTTTATGCACTTCAGGCAGCGCTGCTCTGTTAGTTTGCGCATTGTAGCTCCTAGATGCCTCCATTTCACAGTGTTAGCACTTACAGTTGTCTGGGGTAGATCTAGCAGGGGAGACATTTCACAGACTGACTTGCGACAAAGTTGCATCTTATGACAGCACCAAGTTTAAAGTCACTGAGCTCATCAGTACAACCCATTCTACTGCCAGTGTTTGTCTACAGAGATTGCATGGCTATGTGCTTGATTTTATACCCCTGTTAGCAATGAGTGTTGCTGGAGGAGTGTCCACATACTTTTGGCCATATAGTTTTTGTGTGTGTCTGTGTGTGTGTGTGTGTGTGTGTACAGGTATCTCTGATAGTATTTAATGGATTACTGCTGGCTGTTGGAGGATCTGATGGAGTAAGTGACTTAAAGACTATGGAGGCTTATGACCACGAGGTGAATTCCTGGAGGTATGTACATTATCAGATCACAGAAATGTAGAAATGATCATCTACCATCTAACATCTATCACTCTACCTCTGTTTCTCTCTCCCTCTCTCTCTCTCTCTCTCTCTCTCTCTCTCTCTCTTTATAGACACTTTGGCAGTATGAAGTCCAAACACCCCGGTGGTCACGTTGCAGTGGTCAAGGCTTTGTGAAATCTCTGTTAGTCACACATGCTGAAAGAAACATCGGGAAGCAGAAAGCCAATCAATCGTCCTATTGAGTTTGTTATGTCTAGCCAACGATTTCTGAACAAAGCATAGAGCCTCTACAGCCCACTGTGAACTGAAAAAGAGGAGTCTGAGTGCAGCGTTTACATGTGATACAAGCAATAAAGTAAAAAAACCTAAACTGAACAACTCAGAACGGTATCCTGTATTATTTAGTCTTGTTCTTCCATTCAAAACTTGGCATTCAAATTTTCTGAGGCCTTCATTTTCCTTCAGCCTCAGCCTTCAGTGTCTTGTCCTCCAGTACGCTGGTGTTAGCCTCAAGCTAACACACTAGTCACAAGCTAACATCCCTGCTGAACGAAACAGCTCAGTCCAGCATGAATTTCATTCTGGTTTATGCTAGTTTGTGCTGGTTTGGTTCTGTTATAACTGGGTGACCAGCAAACCAACATCTAAAACACAACATAAGCTGGTTTTGCTGGTGACCAGTTGGTCTATATGCTAGTTTTGTAGCAGGGATGCTAGTCACGGTACAAAACGCTGTGATGCTATTCAATACAAGGTTGTATTGTTACATCAGTAGTTAAAAGTAGATGTATTTACTCAGTTGCGTGTGATTAATTATGATTTCATAGTTTCTATAGTCCATTTATAGGCCTGTGTTCTGTTGTTGGGTCAGATACTAAAGCGCTTCAGTGTTCTTTATTCGACTGCAGGCCTATTCACACCATGTGCAGTTTTTTCAGACAAAAAAAACAATTTTTACTGTAGTGGAACCTTTACACCAAGTCTGAGCTTTTTTTTTTGTGAAAACATGAGAAAAAATAGGAAGAGGAAGAAGAAACTGATTCTAGATGGATGATGAATGAATTATTTTTTTTTTAAGACAACAACTATTAATGCCACCGACTCATACAGGAGCTGAAGCTCTATGACGACTGGTTGTGAAAGTATTTCTTTATGTCAGTGGGAGATTTCGAGCTTCTGCTTCTGCTTTTTGCTCCTGTCAGCGTTCATTAGCGAGGAAAGCTAATAGTTCACGGCTCTTCCTGGCCATGACCAGACTAGGATCCTAGATAAACTTAAAATGGCTTTATAGAGCTTCTGTATCGTACTCACCGCCATTCTCCAGGGTTAAAAAAAATCTCAGTGTAAGTAGGTCATAAACTCTGGAGCCTGAAGTTCTCTTCTAAGAAGTCCTAGCGAACTCAGTACTTGAGGCTATTTTTTTTTACTCAGGATGTTTTTTGCTAACCGTTTCATGTAATAACATTCTGTGAGGGAGCTTTTAGAGATGAACGTCTGGTTCCTATCACCACCACTGTGAACAAATCTGACTCGGTATGTTTCTCTAGAACAGAACGTTTTACACCAAACCACTCTGAATGATTTTGTAGACATGTTAACCATTTAATTGAATTTTTGAAAAATCTGTGGAGTTCCCCTTTAATGAGCTGATCAAGTGTGCTGGCAGCAGGGAAAACGCTGAACGGTGCAGGGCAGTGGGCCTTCAGGATTACGGGTTGAGAAACACTTATTTTTATTCTACTCTTCCCACTTAAAAACACTTATTCTCCACGTTGCTAATCGGTAAGTTCGAAAATAAAAAGTTTAGTCACAATTCCTGACTTTTTCGTCGTGTTTTCTTAGTAACGGTGGAGGCTAATCTTGCCTTCTCTCAGTGAGTTGTTGTTTTTCCCCGTCTGTCCGCCAGAGGCCGCTGCGCGCCGCTATTTAACGAGACAACGGATTGGCTGAGCGGTTGCTGTGGTAACCAGCACGGCAAGAAAGGGACGAGTAGCGTTGTAAAATGAGTCAAACGGGGAATTAGAGTTAATAAAGATTTCAGTTCGAGCTCTTTGGGTCAGATTTTAGACTGATCGGACTCTCAGCGACGTTAAACCCGTGTAAAAGTCACGAGGCTGAGGTCGGATTCTGATTCGCCGCCGGCTTCTTGCTCGAATCTTCCCGTTCCACCTTAAATGATGCCGCAGTTACATTCAGTCGCCTGAGACGTTCCAATAGAAAGTGCTGCTCCGTTTAAGGTGGAACGGGAAAATTCGCCGGCGAATAGGAAGCTGAGTTGAGCCTCGTGGAGAAGTCAGACTGGCTTCGTCAGAAGTTGGGTTTGTTTCTCACAGCGACCGTTAATGGCTCTAATCTGAGCGCGCTGGTTGTTTTAAACGCCCCTGTGACGCGCTCGATTATTATTGTTATAGTAATAACAATAATAATAATAACAATTATTATTATTATTATTATTATTATTATTATTATCTTTATTGTCCTGTATCTGGGACCGATGGATTCTGGCGCGTGCTACACCAACCAGAGTTTTGTGGATGATGAGGGGAGCGCGAGGAGCAGCGCGAGAAGGTACAGCTGCAGCACACATAAGTTTATCAATTTCAGTATTTCAGTGCACAAAAAACTAAACCCAGTATTTGTGACACTTTTAAAAAAGAGACGTATTTTGATTGTCATTGGTGTTTTGCATAATTTTTCATTTATTGAATAGTTTGATTCTATTATTTCTTTGTCATATCACTGATATTTGGGCATATATGCGCATATAAAAAGGGGTCAGGCATATATTTCAAAATGTATGTACATGTATGTTGTGTACATGTATGTAGGTATCAAATATTGGACATATATGCATAATACATGGATCACATATATACTGTCTGTCTGATACATGGCTTATACAAATACTAAAAGACTTGAAAATGAAATACACCAGCAATATATATGAAATAAAAAACATTATATAATATAACATGAAGCTAGTATATATGAGCATGAGCATATATTCTATCACTTATTGTTATATTCATATATATATATATATATATATATGTGTGTGTGTGTGTGTGTGTGTGTGTGTGTGTGTGTGTGTTGAATGACAGAAATATATGTCCCATATTTTAAAATGGCCCATTTCAATTTTGGTCTGTGACTAATATAAGTTGGATATATGGGAAATTCATATATAATATGTCATATATCTGATATCCATATATTGAAATATTTCAGATTTCTCAATGGTATCCTTCCTCCTTCATATTTTAACCCTTACCATCTTTAATCTTAACCTTTTGTCTGGAGTGAATTATTCGTACAGTTAGGTTCCCTGTAGAGAAGAGATATTTTTATGTTTTCTGGTGTCAGTTATTATATCTGTAAATGTACATTATTATCAGACAGTTAAAGGATGACATACAAACATTTTCCTTATTTTTGTTCTTCAAATTCTGGATTGTGTGTGTGCTGAAGAGCAGATTAGATGATTCATTCATGACCTTGTAAGTCTATTCAGAGACTGCAGTGTCTGTGGGCGGGTCATCAGCTGAACATCAATAAGGGAAACTGATTTTAAGGGGAATCCCACCGATTTTTCGAAATTTCTGCATAACTCAGTGGTTGAGATGTTAACATAGTCATTCAGAGTGGTTTGATGTGAAAAGTTTCAGATTTCTTTACAGTGATGGTGATAGGAACCAGGGGTCGCCATGACTACAACACAAATATAGCCATTTTATTTACCTTTCGAAACCACCAGTGAAGTGGCTCCGCCCCCTTGTCGTCATTGTCGCCTGTGTTTAGTTTATAGCTCCTCGCTGTCGGGTTAATAGTGTAGTTCTTGTCTTCATGTTAGTGTTTGTGCTTATTCTAGTCTTTTCCTAGTTGTGAGTTCTTGCCTAACTTTTGTTGTTTTCATGGATAGCTGTGTTTCTGCTTGTTCACTGACTCACATGACTGGCATTTTGTGTATTTTAATTATTTGTTCATTTGTTTATTTATGTATTGAAGTACAGTAACAGTGTTGCCATATCAGATATTAATAAATAAATAAATAAATAAATATGAGCTGAGCTGTTCTGGAATTGTTAGCTTTTCCGACTGGAGCTCTAGTCTCTGACCTCCATCTTTCCTGTCTCAGAGTGACCCCTTGTGCGGCCAGTGGCGTTGTGTTGAACATCCAGGGGCTCAAGGCGGCAGCCGGCGAATCCGACGTCCCGCCTCTCCAGTGCCGCGCCCGCTTCCGAGAACTGTTGCTAGGAGACCAGCCATGCCAGAGCGAGGACAGGTATGGCTCTTGCATCGTCACAGCAACGGCAAATCACTGCAGCACTCAGCATCTATTCAGCGAGTTCACGCAGGTCCTACCGCAAGCGTTCAAGGCCGAGCGGAGAGCCAACGAATCCAGCGGTTCCTACACAATCTATACATTCCAGCGTTTTACCTGCCTCACCTCGACAGCTCGGTGTCTGTGTCTCAGTATTAAGCAGTTTCAGAGTGAATAAAGTTACAGCACTGAAAACATTAAAACTGCATCAAAGTCATTGACACAGTTGGTTTACAGTATTAAACATCTGCCTGCACAGATGTGCTTGTACTTACATCTTGTATGTACATCTTGCCCTCTCTCTCTTAAGACTAACATATGTAAATGAGCTCTGTTCTGACTGGCTGCCCTGCATTGTACCTCATTCAAGAAGCACACTTCTCATAACGTCAGTGTGAGGGGGCGGAGCTAAACTGTAGGCTGAATAGGTTGTTGTGAAATGGTTCCGATTTCTTTACAGTGGTGGTGATAGAAACCAGGGGTCACCATGACTACAACACAAATATAGACATTTTATTTACTAATCAAAACCACAAGTGAACTAGCTCCACCCCCTTGTCACTGCTGTCACCTGTGTTTAGTTTATAGCTCCTCCCTGTTAAACTGCAGGCTGAATAGGTTGATATATGTATTTTTAGTACATATTTAGGTTGTTTTCTTTAATGACCTCACAAAGACAGGGAATTCAAGACAGACAGTTTTTGCAGCTTAGTTTCTATATATTAGACTGTATGTACATTTTGAAACTTTAATAATGTTTACATGCTACAACAAACTCTTTTGTTTCAAAATGTTACATTAAGAACACAAACTTTAAAACTGCACTGTAAAAAAAAACCTGTGGAAAACAAAAAAGGTTAAAACTTAAACAGCAGGGGTGACGGACAAAACCTGTTAAATAACAGAATGATGATAAAAATCTGTAAAAATTCTGTCATTTCATTCTTAGAAATGCTGCCTTCTAATGTAATAGTTTCAGTAAGTCGACTGATTTTTCTGACAGACTGTATTTTACTAAAATGATAAAAGTACCATCCA